AAAATTATTAAAGACGTGAAGAGAGTGAAGAGGTAGATGAGAAAGGGAACAGGAATTGGGAGCTAAGAAAGAAGGAGGAAGATTAAAAATATTAAGAAAAATCAGGAGTGGAAGACTGTGAGCCCCCAGGGACCCACTAACTCAGCGATATCAGGACACTGGTTCAGTGAGTCTGTGGTGCCCTTGACCTCTCCCTCATGAGCCAGGATGCCTCCTTGCTTCATTATGGTGTGTGTCCTCACACATCTCATTCAAAGGCTGGAGGTGACGATACGTTTGGGGGAAGTTCCTTCTGCATATCTTGCCTGTAATCATGGAGCAGAAACCTTCTCCAGAAGCTCCTTGACTAATACATTTTTTGTTGAAATTTTCAGTCCTGGATCAGATACACACATTAGGAAGCCTGGCTTCTAAATGTTCTAGGAGACTGCACGATTTTGTTTGGGGACAAAGGATAAGTGATTGGCAATGATTTTGGACAGACCCCAGAAAACAAGACTATCTTCTTATAAAGCACCTGCATTGTGGACTGAACATGATGGGCCAGAGGCAACAGAAGGTTGACAGGGATGCTAAGTCTGTCTTATATAGGAAAACTCTTAACAGCAGTCATGAACTCAAATGCAAGTAATGTAAATGAGAGAAGGAGGTCAGGTAAGAATTTACTCTGTAAATAGGTACTGAGACCCATCTTTCTCCCCAACCTAGCACTAAATTTGAGTATTTAACTCAAGGTGAGAAGACAGGAAAGCAAGATTTTTCTTTGCAGAAACAGTAACCCCAGAAAAATGTACCTCCATGTTTTGACATTTGGGCGACCTCCAGTAAACAGATGATACCCACCTGAACTCCTAAGATGAAGTCTAAAAGTTTTAACATAAAGAGAGGTAGAAGGTTGTGTTTTAATGCCTTGCTCTTGAGTGCAGGTAGCCAAGGATCACAAGGGATTAAGGAAGACCATTAACACAAAAGGAAAAAACCAAATAAATAGGAAAATGAATCAGAAGCAAAGCCAAAATATCATAGGAAACAGAAGAAAAGTTTATATAGCTATCATCCTTTGAGAGAAGCAAAAATATATAATATGCATAAAATAATGACATGAAAAAATAAGGCATGAAAATGTTATAGAACAAAAAGAGAATTCTTGGAAATTAAAATATATTTTCAGAAATGAAAACTTTAATAGAGGGTTGGAAGGTAGAATTGAGGAATTATCCTCTGAATGTAGAATAAAAATACAATTAATTAGGTTGTCCACAAGATGGGCCCCAGAATGGGTTGTCAGAGTCTGAGTGTCCCTTTGGAGCTACCCACTGTGGTGTTAACTCAAGGTGAGAAGACGGTTTCTATGGTGGGATGACTCAGCTTGGGTAGCGTATCTCCAAATGGATGAGAAGGGTGTCTATGCAGAGATGTGGCCTGATGTCAACTGTCAGAGCCCAAGCAGGGTGAGAAGGGTTTCCACACTGGAAGGTTCTGATGGGGGGTGTTGGAGCATGAGTAAGGTAAGGAAAGTGTCTGAGCAGGGAGCTGGCCTGCTGTGTGATACCAAAGGCCAAGTGCAGTGAGGAAAGTATCAGGAGAGAGAGAGGAAATGTAGACAGAATTACTACAGGAGAGGTTTTCATAGAAAGGGTGAATTAAATAATTAATTTTATGTGACTTGAAATATATGTAATACATAATTGTATATATAAAGAATAATATAAATATATAATAACTTTATATATAGACAGAGAATAATGGGAGTCAGTTTCCTCACAAGAGAAAGGAATTATAAGTATAGAAAAAGAAAAATAGAAAGAATTCTATGATGTTCCATTGGGAATGGAAGTATCTGTGTGAATATATGATTTTCATTAGTTACACGGATGATAGAGGTAGATAGATAGATAGATGATAGATAGACAAAGATTGAATGGGACTGTTATATATAAACACACCCAGCATTCAGATTTGCATTTCAGTACCATTCTCCACTCAAAGGAAGTAGGACTGTTTACTGAAATAGGTGATTCCAGAGCTGGAGCAGAGAAAGTACAAGATAAGCATGGGGCATTTCAGTGGGCAGGTAAGAAAAGAAGTGCTCAAACAATAAAAAGAACATAGAAGCCAGCTTACAGATTCTGACCAGCCAGTTCTGAGGTAAGTGAAGCATCAAAATAAGTAATGATAATAATAGATTATAACATAATGAACAAAAAAAGGAAAATTAATTTCACACAGGTATAAATGAATAAATTGGAAGTTTGGTAAGAAACTAGATATTCACATAGTCTCAAAGTACCTTCCCACAAAATATTTACTAACTTCCAAGTGAAAATGTATAACTTAAGTGATAAGCATAATGAACACCTCTTAGTAATCAAAGTGATGAGACATTAGCAATAGGACAAAGCAAAATTTCTTACACCTCATAGGCTGAAAATAGCAGCAGAGCATGACTTCTGAGATATTCCTGGTAATGTCACAAAAATGCCATACCTCACTGTACAGCAGTATTGGTATTTTTGCAGAAAATACACACAAATATTAAGGAGTGGTGGGCATCAAGTTTGTAACTTATGCTCAGACTTTCAGGGAAAAAGTACATTATGCTCTACCTGCAAATTTTCTGTAAGTGTGAAATTTTTCAAAAAGTTAAAAATGGTTTTAAATATTTTTTTTAAAGCTAGAAGAACTACATAGCAGAATATCATATCGCTTTGTCCTATGGATAAGAGGCAATTTTTAAAAATAAGATTTCAATATGAACTAATACTAAAATAAAACTGACTACATGAAATCTAACACAAAGAATAAGGAAGACAAGTCACAAACTGGAAGAAAGTACTATAATAAATATAGCTGATAATAGGTCAACAACTAAATTACCTAAGAACTCATACACTAACTAGAAAAAATAAGAGGAAAGGGAACAAAATGCACTCATGAGAAACCTGCATACAATAAACAGTTGGAAGTAAATGTTAGAGAAATGCAAATTAAGGCTACACTGAAATTCCATTTTTTTAACCTACTAAATTAGCAAAAATGAAAAAATCTGCCAATAGCAAATGTTAGGAGGATATGAATCAGTAGGAACACCTCAACACTGCTGATGAAATGCAATGCATTAACAACTTTGGAAAAGAATTTGGCATAGTTTTGTAAAGATAAATCTTTGAAGATCTCATGGCTCAGCAATTCCACTTTAAAATATATAATGACTCATATTTCCTCAACATAACAACTGGAGACAAGAAAAAGAATATTCAAAAGAGCACTGTTTGCAAGAGAAAAACTGGAACAATCCCACTAAGCTTATTCTCACAAAGGAATATTATACAGCAGTGCAAAGAATGAACTACAGCCAAACAGAGTAACATGTGGCATTTAGAAACATAATGTGGAGTGAAAAAAAGCAAATCCCAGAATACTGTATCCAGTCTAATGTTTGTATAAAGCTCAAAAAAGCTAAATAAAACACTATGCTGATTACGTAAAGGTGTGGTGAGATTATTTTTATAAACGATGGAATGATAAACACAAAATTCAAGCAAGTGGTTTCATTTGGAGAGAAGTGATGTGGTAGAGAGCACCTATAGGGAAGTTACTTGTACCATGTGATTCTTGAACTGACTACTGTATACATGAATGTTTAGACACTATACTGATAATGTTGTGTATTATAATGTATATGCATTTGCTGTTGCTGTTGTTCAGTTACTAAGTCTTGTCTGACTCTTTGTGACCCCATGGACTGCAGCACTCCAGGCTCACCTGTCCTTCACTATCTCCCTAATTCTGCTCAAATTCATGAATATTGAGTCAATGATGCTATCTAACCATCTCATTTTCTGCTGCCTCCTTCTCCTTTACCATCAGTCTTTCCCAGCATCAGGGTCTTTTCCAATATGTTTTTAAACATGATCTTTTACTTGTAATAATTATTATACTATATTAAAATATACAGTGAAAATATCTGAAACTCATGATAATTTCCAATTTGAAAATAAAAATACAGTTATTTTTTACAGTTATTTTATCACTCAATGTTTTGTAACAATTTTTTATTCTGTTACTGGAAGATTTGGGGTCACATATTAGTTTCAGTGAATTTGTTGAAGAAGAAATTAAGGGTTCAAGAGACGCCAGCTGTCTCATTCAAGGTCATCCATTTGGTAAGTAATGGACACAGTCTTCAATTTCAGGCTAAAGACTCTGGATCCTGTGCAGTCTCCAACAATCCAGACACACAAAAAGGGGTACTGGGAAAAGAGATCAGGTACAGAAAACAGAACTGCTCTTCTGGGGGAATGCTGCCATCCTAAGAAGAAACTGTCCACAAAGAAGCCAGAAAAGAAGCTGTGGCTTTCAAATGCTTCCATGATAACACATCTTGTCATAGGAGTATTCAAATCAACATCAAAATCAAAAATAAGGATATTATCAATTTTGCCAAAAAATCTGAGTAAGTTGCTTAGGTTCACTGTGTATTCACTTCTGTGATAATCCATACAACATATCCACAAGTTGTGAACAGGGGAGATACAGTAGCTCTCTATGCCCATTCTACAAAGAAAACAAAGTCAAAGAGAAGTGAGGAACCCACTGTTACTCACTTTTACAAGCCAGAGGATGCCTCCCTAATCTCTTCACTGCTGCCTGCATCTCCTGGCTCCTCAGGGTGTAGATCATGGGGTTGAGCATGGGGGTCATGACAGTCTGGCTAACGGACACAGCCTTGTCCATGGAGAGGGAGGTGAAGGGCCGGGCATAGAGGTAAATGCTAGGAATGAAGACCATAGACAGCACAATGATGTGGGTGGTGCGGGTGGAAGCTGCCTTCCTCCTCGCCTGCCCTGAGTGGGAACTCAGCATCACCAGGATGACTGTATAAGAGATCAGAAGGAGGAGGAACCAGATGAGGACCAGCACCCCACTGTTGGAAATGATAAGGAGCTCCAGGAGGGAGGTGTCCGTGCAGGCGAGTCTCAGCACTTGTGGAACAGCACAGTAGAAGTTTTCTAAGACGGGGCCGCAGAAAGGCAGAGGGAGCATCAGAGCCAGTTGGGAAATGGAATGGATGAAGCCTCCCACCCAGCTGGCCGCCACCAGCCCAGCACAGACCTGAGTGTTCATGATGGTGACATAGTGGAGGGGCCGGGAGATGGCAACAAGGCGGTCACAGGCCATCACTGAGAGGAAGAAGACCATGGCACCTCCCAGAAAGTGGAAGAAGAAGATCTGGGCCATGCAGCCCTGGTAGGAGATGGTCTTCTTCTCAGAGAGGAAGTCCACCAGCATCTTCGGGGCAGTGACTGTGGAATAGCAGAGGTCTGTGACAGCCAGGTTTCGCAGCAGAAAATACATGGGTGTGTGGAGCCTGGAATCAGAGGTCACCGTGACCATGATGAGGAGGTTTCCCACGACAGTGGTGATATAAACAAACAGGAACACCAGAAACAAGATGAGCTGGAGCTCCTGAGTCTGTGAGAGCCCCAGGAAGACAAATTCTGGCACCCATGTGTGGTTCCCTGATAACATGGTGTCTACTCCATAACCTACAGAAAACACACCACAGAAGCAATGTATTAGTGCCCGGGCCTCAAATTGAGTGTCTGGGTTTAGATAATGGACATTGATATGCACATCATAATTCCAGGTGCTGACTAAATGGCCTTGGCTCTAGAATGTGTACCAGTTAGTACTGGAATATATATTCTTGAGATATCTTAAAGCCATTCATGACATATACAACCTGCTTTAAAAAATTCAGTGTAATGTAGTAATAGGAAGACACTTGGAGTCCAGCAGACTTGTAGTCAAACTACAGAGTTTTTTTTATCCTTGACATGTGATCCACAATAAGTTATTTAAGCTCTTTGTCTCAGTTTCCACTTCTAAGGTGGAATTAAAAGTGTTCTCTCTATACATTGTCTAGGGCATTATATAAGATAACACATAAGGTTCCTAGAATAGCATCTGGAATAATAAATAGTAATCACTCACCTCTCTGTAGTCTCCCACTGAAAACCTCCTGCCTCCTTAACAGTCTCTAATACATATTTGTACCAGTCATTTCTCATGCAACAGTTATTACATCTAAAAGTTTGTGAACTTTTTGTATTTCTAGACTTTTCCTCCTGATTCAACCATAATGTGCCACTACAGACATGTGCCTTGATTCTCAATTAATCTGTGCACTGAAGTGCTCATGCTTGCTCATAGTCAATACTCAAAAAGCATGTGGCATTGACTGCTGGGTGGGTAAACAATTATAGGGAATGTCCCCCCATCACTGGTGTAGGTGGCCCCTTACTGGATGAGTTAACAGTATATACATGGTGTTTGTGCTGAGACATGAGAAGGTGGAGAGAGATTTTCAGGATTAAGAAATAGGTGATGGATTTTGTAAGAAGGGGAATGGAAGGGCTCCTTTAAAAGGCCCAAGAATTTCTGTTACTGAATACAAAGATAGATGAAGAAAGAAGATGTTGAAATAAGAGAAATAGTACAGACAAAGTAATAAAGAATACTAGAGTGGGTTGTCATTTCTTTTTCCAGGGGATCTTTCAAACCCAGCTATCCTGCATTGCAGGCAGATTCTTTACTGTCTGAGCCACCAGGGTGTTGTCAAAAGAATGAAGAGGGGATATTAAGAGGAAGGAAGTGGAAGGGGAAAGTGGAAGGGGAGGGAAGAGGCTGGGAACAAAAGTGAAGAAAGACACAGAAGGTGAGAGATAAGGCTGACAGGTGAGAGTTAAGTGGCCTTCTCACTCCCCTGCCTTGTCTCACTCCCCACCCCCACCTGCTTCTGCAATGTATTGTCCATCAGAGGTCATTTTCCTCTCATCATATTTTTTTTCTGTTGTCCCTCTTAACAAGAATGTAAGTCCAGTAGCTTAGCAGCCCCAGCACCTGTAATAGCAACTCTGATTCAACAGTTGCTCAAAAAAAGTTGCTGTCATAATGAATTAGTAGGTAATTATGCCTGTTCAATGTGACCATGTGGAGAACTCTGTGGTGTATTTTCCTATCCTTTGCTCTCAATATCATCCCTCATTGGAAAATCTGTTTTCAACACCCCATTTCCCCTGCATTATTTTCTGAATCTTTCCTCACACATTAGCCTTACTATCATCAAGTCTAAATCCCTTGCCTTTTCTCTGCACTCTCCAGCAAGTGTGTCTGGATTCTTCTTAACAGCTGCTCTGTCTACAGGTGAGAAACCCCTGATCTCGCACCTTCCTTCAGCCCAGAATGGGAGAGAGCCCTCATGTCTTGCATCTTCTTGAAGATCCCTTTTCTGCAAACTTAGTTTCCTAGCCACTGCCCAAACATCACGTATACAACAAAGGGTGTGACTCTAGGGGAAGAGGGAATATCCTTGAGGAGAAACTACTGGACTCGATTCAGGAGGCAGGGTTGGGTTGATTACCACTGGGGGCAAGGGAGCAATGGGACTTGTTAAAAAGTTTGAAAATCTCTCAAAAACACACATTCATTAAGAGTTATTCCTCAGGGTCAAAAGGACCAAGGACAATACAATTTTATAGATTTGTAGCATGTAGGATCTCAGGCAAGATCTAGAACTACAAGAGTCTCTTCAAAAGAAACAGTTTCTCTGGTAGTTTTAGAAGAACCCATTCCTTCGATTCTTTCTCTTGAGACCATCACCTGGAGAGCTGGTTAAAAGACAAATTACAGTGCCCAAGGTCCAGACTTCCTCATTCTGTTGATCAATGATAAGGCCAAGAATTTGCATCTGTAACAAATTCTCAGACGATGCTGATTTCTCTGTTCCAGGCAACACACTTTGAGAACCATGGAGTTGCTCATCAGTATAAGGACTGTTCTCTCTCTTGTGCAATCTGAGATAACTGGCCTGATTTCTTTCCTTCTTCTTCTCTTTCTTCTTCCCTTTTTCTTTTTCTTCTACTTTTAAGCCTAATTGATTTTTACTTAGAGAAAGTCATACATGGGCAGATATATGGTATCAGTTCAACAGAACCTTACTGTCCTGTAAAACGTGCCCTTTATTTTGGCAACTGAAGCCCCATTATTGATTTACCATCTGTACCCATGTCCACTATGTGCCTGCATGCTTAGTCACTCAGTCATGTATGACTCTTCATGACCCTTTGGACTGTAGCCCACCAGGCTCCTCTAACCATGAGATTATCCAGGCAACAATACCGGAGTGGGTTGCCATGCCTTCCTCTAGGGAATCTTCCTGACCCAGGAATCGAACCCACATCTCCTGTGTCTTCTGCATTGTGGATGGGTTCTCTAGCCGCTGAGCCATCAAGGAAGCCCCAAGTCCAGTACATCATCTGTTTAAATGCCAGCATTCTTTACCTGTGAACTCTTACTACCTCTAATGCATGGACTGGTACAGGAAACTTATGCCATGCCCATTACGAGGGATTGATCAAAACTGGAATTAATTGACATTTTAAACTTGATGTGCTTTAAAAATGGTCTGATTTTTTAGACAGAGCTCTCTGAGCTACATGTAAGTTTCCAGGTTGGTCTGAATTATTGTACTACAAATGCTCATTCTTGGCAAAATAAAATATAATGGCAGGTAAGAGTAGTATGTGAAGCTCTTCCAGAAACAGACCCAGCACAGCCACATACATAAATAATTTTTTCAAAAAAGTGTTCTTATTTAGAGCTCTAGTCCATTTTAAGATTGATTCACAATGAAAAAAGAGTAAAATAAGAAAATAAAATTAAGTCACACAAAAGTAGCCTTCCTGTCTGGGGAAGGGACAGGATGTGTCCATCTCACTATCATGTAGATGATTTTGATACAGATTCTGATTTAGTTTTCAATAAGAGAAACCTGATATGTCCCACTTTATATATTCTCTTGTAGGAACACATGTGATTCTGTAAAATGTTCACCAAACCTCATCATCTGTTCACTGCATCCTCTTGCCAACATGAGTTCCAAAGACAAGAATGGCCAGAATGGAATAAAGACCCAGTCATGTACACTGAGATGAGAAAATTATTATCCTATGTATCAGATATCTAAACATATATATATATGCCTAACTTCAAACTGCTAAATGGATGCAGGATACATTTAGAAGGAACTTTTTTTTTTTTTTACATCCACATTAAGAGAGGCCTAAGTCATTGATGATTAATGATTCCCCTCTTGATGGGTGGTTTTATGTGTCAATCGACTAGTCTGTAGTTTTCAGTTATTCAAACTTGAATCTGGGTGTTGCTGTGAATGTATTTTATAGATGTGATTGATTCTCTAATCAGTTAATTTTATTTTTTTACAATCAATTCATTAAAAATTTTTTTTTTCTTTTGGCCATACTAGATGGCCTGGGAGATCTTAGTTCCCAGACTAGCAACTGAACCCTGCCCCCTACAGTTGAATAGTGGAGTGTTAACCACTGAACAGCCAGGGAAGTCCCATCCATTCATTTTAAGTAAAGGAGATTATCCTAGCCATTGTGGATGTACCAGATTCAATAAATTATGACCAGTGCAAGTTTGATGCATTAAGTTTGAGGCAAGGGCATCCAAAGCCAGTGCTCTGGGACAGCCCAGAAGGGTAGGGTGGGGAGGGAGGTGGGAGAGAGTTCAGGGTGGGGGGTACACATGTATACCTGTGGCTGATTCATGTTGATGTATGGCAAAAACTGTAACAATACTGTAATTATCTTCCAATTAAAATAAATTAATTACTTTTTTTAAAAAAAAGGTTTTAACAGCAGAATTGATGTTTCCTCAAGGAGGATGCTGTTCTGGACTGCAGAGCTTCCTGCCCCAAAATTCCAGCCTGCCCTTCTTGTTGGCCTGCCCTACAGACTTCATACTTGCCAAACCAGTCTGGCAATCAGGTAAGGAATTCCTTGGAATATATATATCTCTCTCCCTCTTCATATATAATACTATAAAAATTTCCACCCCAAAATGTCTTAGGATTATTTTGAGCTGAAAGTTGTCAAGGCTCAAAAGACTCAGGAAGAAACCTTGACTTTCCCCTTTAGCTGTCTAAAGAATTTAAATAGAGAACCTGTTTCCAGAATGGGTTTTCACCAGATTTTCCTACAAAGAATATGGATTAGGTATGTATTTGTGTGTCTGTGTGTGTGTGTAGGGGGGACCGGACCTAGAGATCAGGGTCCACTCCGTGTTCCATTGTCTCTACATGGACCAGCAAGTATTTACTTATCAAACACTTTCTTTTCCACTTCCACGTGAATTGTCTTCCTCCCTTTTGGAGTCCCACGCAACTTCCTCCAACACCTTCTCTTTGTCTTTAGCTGAAGATGGTATTCAAGGTGAATGTTTTTGGTGGGTTATTCAGTTTTCCTGGTTCTCTACCATGTATACATGTTCTCAAACTGTGCTTGACTTTTTTCTCTTAATTTGTCTTATGTCAATTTCATAGACCAGCCAGGAGAACCTAGAATGGTGGAGGAAAATTTCTTCTTTCACAACACTTCCATATCATACTGGTCCTGTTTCTCTGGCAGAACCTTGACTGATACACCACTTTTAATAGATTATAT